TTTTAAAATAGCGCAAATATCCGCAACCACAATTAAATTGTAAAGTAATGCATCACTAAAAATAATTATATATACTAAAAATAAGTATATATTCAAGAAAGGTGTATGTGGCTCACATGTGGTCATAGTGCTTTCGTGTGGATTAAAAGTTCAAAAATATATTACAGTTAATGAATGACGTATTTGATGAAGATAAGTGTGGCCCACTTGTGGTACACATAATGCGGTTCACATAACTATTCCACCTAAATTAAAATATGCATAAATGTAATTAAACTAGAAAATTATATTTTTTAAATTGTTTATGTTGATATATTAATAATATATTTATAATATGTTTTGTTGGAGTTATCTTAGGAGTTTGTTGTCTTAGGAGTTTTATCTTGCCAATCCCTCACACCGAAAACTCCACTCACACCCTTACACCAATCACACAGTCAATTGAATACCGATTGTCTTCCATTGAAAATCTACTTAAAGGTGAAAAATCTTTTAAAGTGCATATATTAATTTTTCTTTGTTTTAAATACTTATAACAATTTCATTTAATTAAATTTAGTAAAATCTGTAACTTCTGCGACAAAAGAGATAAAACATCTTACAGAGTGTATGCCAATAGGTCATACTGAAGAAAGTTTATTCAAAAAATCAAGTACCATAAAAGAGTTAAATGCTGTGTTGTTGCAATGTCAGGATGAAGAAATTGCCTTACTTTTTGCAAGTTTTACTTAAATATTATTGAAAAACTTTTAAATTAAAACCCCGGTTGCATCAATTGAAAAACAATTGAAAAATTAAATATTTGAATATTAACTTTTATTTATATAATAAAAAATTTTATTTTTATTTGACTTTAACTTTTATATAATTTTTATTTTTTAGTAATCACTTATATATTTATTTATGTACTTATATGTATAAATACATACATATACACAAGTGTGTGTGTGTGTATAGTTGGATGCACTCGAAGTGCCTTTCCGAGAGCAAAACATCCAACATCGTTTTCCTCAAGTTTTGTTAGCAAAACTTTGAAGTTTTCACCGTTCACTTTTCCAACACGCAGGTTATTCAAAATATCGATAAAAGTATTGTCACTTTGCTGTCTCATATTTTCCGTTAATTCACAAATTGCAAACAGTCTCCATAAGTGTGTTGCCGGTTGTATTCTTTCTGGTTGCTTAAACACTTGGCTACCTCGAATAGGTGGTAGTTGCATCAAATCACCAAAGAAAATTATGTTGATTTCGCCAAATAATTCAAAGCTGTCTTTAAGTTGCTTCAAGCGATTGTCAATCATACATAGCATTTCATAAGAAACCATGGACGTTTCGTCAATGATAAAGAATTCAGTGTCGCGCCATTGTTGTTTCATTCGTTTTAGGTAGTCTCCAGATAGCATAAGAAGATTGATTGTTTTACCATCTTTTTCAACCAGTAGTGTGGAATAAATTGTTCCTCCATTTACCAACTTTGCGGCAGCTCCTGCGAGTCTGCAGACTTTTCAGACAATATTTTTTTGTCCATAGCATCTTTGAATTTGTTCTTTAATTACTTTTAAGGTTTTTCTTTTTTGAGCTTCACTAGTTATAAAAACTTTTACGCGTTGATTGTCTCCGTTGAGTTGCAATTGAATTTTTGACGTAATATAGATAAACAAATCACGTTGTCCAACATTTATAGCTCTTATGGCTAAATCAAAATCAGTATCTGTTATTCTTTCATTATTATATTTTTTCATTTCTATATCGCAGTCTATAAGTGGTTCAGCAATCTGGAGTTTATCTAAGGCATGAGCTTGAATTAATGCATTTTCCAGAGCTTTATCACGTTGACAATGAATGTCCATCATTGCACAAATCTTTTTTATTTTCTCTTCCTTACTCAAAAATGCTTCTTTATCTCTATCGAAACCCTCCATCAGTTTACTTTCATCTCTAAATGGGCAATATTGAGCTAACAAGCTGTAGTAGTAAATTTCAGAATAAGTGTTAGTCTGAAAGAACGGAACTCTTACTGTAGCTGGTCGTGATCTTATTTTCGTCTTTGCATTATCAATTAGCGTTATAAGTCTTGCCTTAAATTCTGGAGCATTTTCTTTATGTAAATCATAATCAATGCCAACTTTATTTTCATCATTTGATTTTGCATAATATGGTTCAAAGAGCATTGCAAACTCTATTAAGCCCATTGATTTAAAGTCATAATTTAAGCTCTAAAAGGCGGTTTTTATATCTATCAATAATGTTGAAGCAGAAACCTGAGGCTTGATCATCATTCCGAAATGCTAGTACTTTGTAGCATTGATCTGGCTTTCTTGTGTTCAAGAATACGCAATTTCTTGAGCTATCACGAAGTTTTAAATGGCAAAGTCGGAAAACACATTTATTTGCAGATACTTAGCGTTCAATTAATAACGCCATTCAAATTTTAAATATTTTTCTGGACACGTTTTCTTCGCCTTGACATAATTTGATTTATGGTATTTTTTAAGTTTTATTCGATTTTTGTAGGCTCATTTTTAGCAATGTATTTTGCTATATATTTGGCAATGCTCTCTTTATTTCCGCATGGTTGAATATCCATATTTCCTTTCCACAACATCAGTAAAGTGGGATTGTAATTGTTTACAAACTGCTCTTCTTTTTTACGACGTAGCTCACCAATTCGACCACCGTTTTTAAAAAAGTCTTCTGAGGTATGTGATATAACTTTAGTTTTTTCGCATGGCCGTCGTGGAAAACCAAAACAACATCGATCTGTCTCTGAAGATCCTTTGTGAAATGTTGTAGTGTGATGATGAATGTAACATTTTTCAACAATAGTCCGCAACTCTTTGTTATTTTCTGGAATTTCGCATGAAATAATTCATCAATTCGAAATGTTCTTTCTTTAGTATTAAATTCAGCTGTTCCTGCATAATCTACATTAAAAATTCTTTCATTTCTTTGATTGTAAGATGCTCTGATGATTCTACTGAAAGTGTTAATTGGTAAAAATACTCTTTTTTCTCGATAATCTTCATCTTGTTGCGTTCTAATTACTTTGTTAATATTTTTACCTTGATTAAAAGATAAACTCCCAACATTTCTTAATTACAGGGTTATTCATTCATATATGCGCGTCTATTCATTTTTATATGCGCCTTTATTTATTCTTATATGCACATTTATTTATTTTTAGGGTAGATTAGGGTAATATTAGCACCTTGGTAATATGAGCATACTTAAAGATTTATTAGATGTAAGCAGTGAAGTTAAAGTTGCTTTATGTTTTTCGAATCGACTTTATGTGGTGATAACAGGAATCAGTACAATTAGCGTAAATTTATACGCAGTAATTAGCGAATATCATCTAATTAAAACGCTTTTAAGTTTTTTGCTTTGTTAAAAAAAATCATCACGCGTGAATAATTCTGTGGCGCGATATTTTGGTGCTAATATAATGAAATTAATTTTTACGTAAAGAAAAATATATTAGCTAAAAATCCAATTCATTTTTGTTTAAAAAATAATGCATAGAAACATTTATTTTTGACTTTATTTAAAGATACCATTTTTGTGTAACATGAGCATGCTCAAATTACCGAGAGCTTTTCATTGAAATTGCTTAGTTTAAAGTCCTAAAATAGCAGTAGTTTTTAATTGCTTCTTGAATAAAAACAAAACATAGTAAAAAATTTTAATATATTAACAATACTAAATATTTTTCTGTAACTTAAATCTAAAAAATTTTAATTTTTATTGTTCAAAGGTTTGAGTTAAAAAAATTGAAAAAACAATGTATTAATTTTTTTTTTTTTTTTTTTGGCGGAAAACATAGTAGTATTGTTTCAACAAAATGTAGCTTAAAATTTGATCTTTTAATGATATGTTTTGTTAATCACGAACCTTTATATTCCAACAATTAGTTCTATTAAGCAGGTTGGTCTTTTTTTACTTAATGCTATTTTTTTGAGCAAATTTAAAGTGCTCATATTAGCAAGGGGTCAGGGTAATACGAGCACTTTTGCTACTTTTTTAAAACCTCTGTGTTTTTAAGAAAAAATATCAAGTGCCCAAATATCTTAATAGATTATGAATAGGGATCCCTAAAAATTGTTTATTTGCAAAAATTTTGGATCCAGCATATTTATTTTTGAAAATATTCCATTTTTGCTTCAGGTGCTCATTAGGGTGTGTCATACTTTGGTTAAAACTCAAAAATTCATATTTACCAGTGGCATTTTTTAAAAAAGGGTGAGGTTTAACATATGAAATTCAGAAATATCAAAAAATTTGAATTTAAATGAGTTTAAGCTACTAGGGAACTGCCTTGAAAATTGCCAAAAAGTGTGAATTTTTGATATTTTTATACTTTCAGGGTCATTTTCAATATTTTAGACTTATATCTGTTTTACAACAACCTTATCTTAAGAAATTAGGAATAAGGAAAGGAAGATAAGAAAGCAGGATAAGTAAAATTCATTTAATAGTTATACTGTTTCAGAAATTTTTATGGATACTTAAAAATTATTATTTTGTCAAAGTTTTGTGGCGTTAATTTACATCTCTTCCCCCCTATTTTTATTTTTGATTATGATATAAAATTTTATGCTGATTAAGAATCGTATAAAAACATAGCTCTGGAAATTGAAGCAAAGTACTCTAATTTGATCTTGAAGTTTAAAAGTTACACTATAAACGCTATTATTCACCATATTTTTGTACTCTGTTATGATTAAAATTCATTCAAAAGTAAACTTTGAAAATAACATAAACAACCTGGTTTTTATTGTCAACAAAAAACGAAACTGTTTTTTAGTACCTACTGATTTAAAGAAAGGCAAGGGCTTCAAGGAAGAATAATGATACAAATTGATACCTGCCCCAACCCTGACCCTTCGATGTGTTTTAAACTCTCTGGCGAGTTTTCCCTAAATCAGTCGATGTATATACTGAAGCCCTCGCCTATCCCTAAATCAGTAACTAAGGGCAAGAGGGCAAAAGTTAACAAACAGAATTTTACGCCACTATTCTGCAACATTACCTTTAAAAGTTTAATTAATTTTTTAAATATAAAGAACAATTTATGTAAAACAAAAAAAAGTTTATTTTTTAATTATAATTAATAATTGTATTTTTTTTAAACTATGTAAATTTTAGTATCGATGAAAAATAAAACCGGGTTGCGTAATTAAAAATAAGATTTATAATAAAGTGTTTAGTTGCATTTAAAAAAAGATAGCGAATATTACCGTTTTTTGTGTAATAAATATACTTCAGGATCTAATTAGAGTACTTTGCTATAGTTTTCAGAGCTATGTTTTTATACGATTCTTAATCAGCATAAAGTTCTCATAATCAAACATAAAAATAGGGGGTAGAGATGTAAATTAGTGCCAGTTTTGTATGTAATTTAAGTTATACATTTTAATTGATGGTTCTTTGATGAAATGATTCTTGTCTACGCCAATATTTGGGATCTGGAAAAGAGTTGCCAACAGCTGAACTGCCAACACTGAGAGATGTCCTAAGATATGGTATTTTTTTAAGAGAAACAAGCAAACTAAACAGAAGAAACTATAGTAATTCTGATTTGATCCAGGATATTTATAATAAACTTTCAGAAAAATGGCAAATAGCCAGTGTTTTATTTGTGCCTTCCGTAATTAGTTTAAAACATAATTTGGTAACAAGACTTAAAGTTGCATGGAACAAAGCTAACCTGATTTCTCAAAATAGAGTAATTAAATTTATAAAACAAAAGTTTAATTTAATTATTGACAAACTATTTGATTTGGTGGAGTGTAACTGTAAAATATCTCTTTGTTCTGAGCAATGCTGTTCTACTGGCTGTAAAGTTGGTGCCCACATTACCTGCATATGTCCTAGGGAGAGAAAAATACCAATAAATGAACTGGTTTATATAAAAGGTAAGAGTGAATATATGAAAGTCACTATAAAAGTGTTAGTAAAGCAGAAAACCAAATTTTATTATACTATACTGATTTCTTTGATTATTTTAAAAAGAAAATTTTATTTTAATTTGCCTGGTTGTAAGCAAATTGTTGTCACATTGTTTTAGCCCAACGAGAAAAGATTGGATTTTTAAGTTCATATTAACTTGGGCCTGCTGATTTGATGGAGTCCAAAAAGTTCAAAAAAGTACAAAGTTGCAAACGAAGAAAAGAACAAGAAAAACAAATGAGAGAAAAAAAACACACTACTCAAAAAGAAAATAATACGCAATATGAACAAGATAACGAACATGAAAATTATGAAGGGAAGTCTAATGAAAATGAGATTTTTTCTAATCAAAAGCCTTGTACAAAATATTTAAAAAAATCTAGAAATTATGAAGATATCTCTAATATTGCATTGGCCAGTATTCGATATGGTGTTGGTTTAAGAGCAACTGCAGCCATAGCTACTGCAGCATGGGTAGATGGAGGACTTGTATCCCAAAATGACACTAGATTAATAATAGATCACAGTAAAGTTCGGAGAGCTAGGGATAAAGTCACGAATGAAGTTGCTGTTCAGTTTGATGATTATTGTAATAAAGAGATTATTGACTGCATATTTTTTGATGGGCGAAAAGATCTTACTAAAGTATTTTTAACTGTAGATGGATCAGACAGACAGTATCCGGCTAAAGTAAAAGAAGAACATTACACTGTTTGTTCTGGTGATGGTAAGTATTTATTTCATTTCACTCCAGCTAAAGAAGCAAAAAAGAACCATGCTGAAATTATAGCAGATAAGATTATTGAGTATACTGCAATGAGAAACATTAGTACACACCTAAAAGCAATTGGCGGAGACTCTACCAATGTAAACACTGGTTGGGATGGAGGACTAATGCACTTTATGGAGCTGAAATTAGGGCGAAAGTTAAATTGGATTGTCTGCGCTCTACATACCAATGAATTAATACTCAAACGTTTAATTAAATTGTTAGACGGAGAATCTAAAAGCGGTACAAAATGGAGTGGACCCATTGGAAGCTTACTTGATGAAGCAACCAATCTTGAAATTAACCCTTTTTTAGTACAGTGGAAACTGGTGAGCCTCTAATTAACTTGAGTAATGATGTGGTTAAAGACCTTTCAACAGATCAGTATTATGGCTATCAAATAGTTAAAGCTATACGCAGTGGTCATGTTCCTCAGCAACTAGGACTTCGGGAAATTGGCCCTGTTAACATGGCCAGATAGCTATCAACAGCCAATAGAATATGTAGAATTTGGGTCATCATGGTCTTCAAGGCGATGCAGCCCAAAACCTTCTTAAACTAGTCGAGTTTATTGTAGGAGTGTACTTTCCTGTCTTGTTTAACATCAAAGTTAAATATAGTTGGACAGAAGGACCAAAACATGTTCTTTACCAGCTTAAGTTGCTTCAGCACCAGTCACTCGATATTCAAAATATGGTCATTCTAACTATTAAGCGATCTGCTTGGTATGCCTTCTCTGAATCTATTCTTCAAACTATGCTTTGTTCTGAAAATAAAGAGGAGAGAGATTTCAGTGTAAACAAAATTCTTGAAATAAGAGGAGAAGGTGATGAAAATGTACAACTTGGAGATCTATCTGTTAGACCAAGAAGGACACCAGATATCAATACTAAAGCAATTTGTCTCAAGGACCTTATTGATTGGAATGAAGCTTTTGAACCACCTTTGACTTGTTGCATGACAACTAAAGACATCAAAGAGTATTTTTTTAAACCAATGATTGTACCAAACTGGTGTTGCCACACTCAAGCTGTCGAAAGATGTGTAAAAAAAGTTACCCAGGCTTGCGAAAATGTTTTTACAGAAGATAGAAGAGATGGTTGGATTAAAGGACAAGAGTTGTCACAGAAGTTGATGTCACGAAATCTATCTAAACAAAACCTTATTGGCTTGACAATGTTTAAGAATTAATCTCCACCGTACTTTATTTTAATGTGCCAGTAGATGTTTTGTGGATCTATTTGAAAGTTTTATTTTTAATTCCAAAACAACCTAATTTTACAGTTTTAGTGGGAGGTAGTGGGAGGGGGGGCAAACCACTCTAGTTGTTTTTATACAAATAATTATATTTTTTTTTTAAATAGAGATGACGTTTTTTTGCGTTTTGTAAGTTTTTTTTTAAAAATACTTCAATTTTTTAAGTTCATACCTAAACATTGCGAATAATATTATTTAATAATTTTTGAGAATTATTGAATTCCAACAAATTATATTTACTAATATTAGTTATGATACATAGTTAAGAATTATAATAGTGATCACTATTGATACAAAATATATTTAATTGCAATAATACGTTTATATATATTTAGCCTAAAATCAGTTTAAAAGAAAATAATTTGAAAAAGTGGGCGGCAGAGGCGACAAAAATTTTAAAAAAAGGGCGGGGGAGGTTAAACTTCAAAATTATTCAAAAATCTTCTTATTTTCACATTTAACGGATAAAACTTCACACAAAACTGAATAATTTTTTTTTTTTTTTTTTGGACAACATATTATTCAGATATCTTTAAAAAAACCATAACACAACATTGTTTTGGCAATTTCCAACATAATTTTTTAAACTTTTTCTATACCTTATTTTGTTATCTAAAAGAAAATATACGTATAGATACGGAAAAATATAAAATATACTGAAATATATGCAAATTTATGTAAATACACTTACATGTCCACAAATAACTTATCATTAAAAGATCAAACTTTAAGCCACTTTTTTTGAAACAATATTGCTATGTTTTCCGCAAAAATAATTTAGTTCGTTATTTTTTCAATTTTATTAACTCAAACCTTTAAACAAAAAAATTAAAATTTTTGAAATTTAAATTACAGAAAAATAATAAGTATTGTTAAAAAGATAAAATTTTTTACTTTGTTTTGTTTTTATTTAAAAAAAGCATTTTAAACCACTGTTATTTTAGAACTTTAAACTAGGTGATTTCAATGAAAAATACTGGGTAATTTGCTCATATTACAAAAATGGCATTTTTGATTAAAGTCAAAACTAAATGTTTCTACGTATTGTTTTTTAAAAAAAAATGGGTTGGATATTTAATAAACAAATTTTTTCTTTATGAAAATAATAATTTCATTAATTTTGCACCAAGATTTCGCGCCACAGATTTAATCATATGTGATGATATTATTTAAAAAAACGCAAAAAATTTAACAGCGTTTTAGTTAGATGATAGCCGCTAATTACTGCATATAAACTTACGCTAATTGTACTGATTCATGTTATCACCACCTAAGGTCGATTCGAAAAATACAAAGCAACTTTAACTTCACTTCTTACTTCTAAGAAATCTCTAAGTATGCTCATATTACCAAGGTGCTCATATTACCCTAGTTTACCCTAAATCAAATGTTTAGGTTATATAAAATATTTATCAAATTATTATTTTTTGTATCAAATAATTTTTAACTATTTTAGATCGATACAACTTGATGGTGTTATGCAAACAAAATTAAAACTGGTGGTAATAAAAGTTGAAGGACCGATAACAATTGTAACTGGAATTATTACCAATGTGTGTCCCCGTGCTATCTTAAAAAGTTTTTGATTAAATCAAAAACAATGACGTCACACTAAAATATGCACTGTCATTAGCATAAGATAATGAAATTTTCGAAAACAGTTTTACAAAAATAAATATTAAAGTGTGTAAACTTTTTTTGGCAATGTACTGACACTTATTTAAATAAAATTTTTAAAAAAATGTCTTGTTTTTAACGCTTCTAAACGGTAAAAAATATTTTACCATTTAATTTTTTTTTATTTAATCCCAACACAAGGTTTAGTATATTATACCTTTTATTATTCAACAGTTTTTATTTCAAAAATTGACATTTTTTGTTTGTTGCTACTAGTGTATAAGTTAACAATAACAATAATTTTAAAATGGTGCAATTTACATAGAAATATTTAACAATAATTTAACGTTTATTTTAACAATGAAATTAAAGAGCAAATTTAACGTTTTTTGCTTTATTTTACTTTTTTACTAAAAGTTTTTTACTTTATGACTAAAATGTAAAATGTGCCTTATCTTAAACTATTTTTTTTTCCTAATAATCATAATTTATAACTTAAATATATTTAAGGTAGTTAAAAGGTAAAAAAATTAATTTTTGATTAGTAACTTTATCATATACCAAAATTACTGTCAAAGAAAAATACTGGTTATTATTATTAAAAGACCAAATAATAAAAATTATATATACACACGCACACAGGTGTACACACAAGGTGCTTCTATCAAGTTTAAAACATCTTGGTTTCCTTTGGAATAATACAAAAATATGATAAAAGTACAAAAATATGATAGCAACACTATTATTATAAGAAAATGAGTATAAACGGTGTAAATAAATTTAAATAAATCGGATATTGATTTTACAAAATATGCGAAACATGGACTTGCTCACTGAAAAAAAGTATCGACCTAGTTGGACAATCTGTCCTAAAATCTTTCTTTAATATTTCAAAGCAAAGTTAAAATTACCTGCATTCTTATTTCAAATTAGACGCTATGTCAGCCATTCTTTTTCACAACAAATTAAACCTATTTATCAGGCTTCTAAACAACCGCACATGTTACTCGATTATCACTTAGGACTCAGATGCCGTTAATGAGCAATCAACAATCATTTGTGGGTGAAGCATTGAAAATATGCAAGGAATTTGTTATAAACATGCTCCAACGTATGATCGAAGGTAAAAAAATTATAAATGCACGCCCTCAGGAAGTATTGGAGCTTCCATCATTGGAATTTTTAGGAAGAAACATTAATTTTAGAACTCTGATGTAGGAGAACATTCCAAGGACAATGCAAAAAAATACTTAAATTTTTGGTTGTTGTTGTTGTTTTTAATACTTTTACCTATATTTTATGTAATTATTGGGTGTTTAAAAGAATTGTTGTATATATATATATATATATATATATATAATGTGAGGCGGAACCAATTCCATTATCTACTAATAAGGAGCAATCCTGTAATTTCTTTGATTGCTTTTAGGAACCCCACAGTTTTATATTTTTTATACAAAAAATTTTTAGTATAAAAAAACAATTTTTACTTAAGTTGCTATATTTTCACCTTATAACCACCCTGAAATAATAAAATCATTGTAACTAATAATAACTCATAAGTATTAATTTAGTGTTTACTATATTCAATTTACTTCAAGTGTATCGTTCAAACTTAGTTGTCTTTTTTTTTTCAAACATCTTATGCTTCATCATACATCATTTCTATATACAAATAACATACACAAGTGCATACTTATGTAGGACGACATTCGGGCAGTTTAGGAAATATAAAAATAAAAACAATAAATGTTTCTTAAAACTTCAAATTTTTATTAAGTAATAATTATAAACAAAAATAAGCAACTAAAGTAAATATGAATCGCTAACTTGAAAAGGGGACATGTTATGTAAACTTTTGCAGGACATGTCCACTTTTCCAAGTTATTGATTCATATTACCAACAGCAGAATGAAGTGAATTATTACTAATAACAGAATTATTTTTTTAAAGATCTCAAATCATTAAATAAATTTCTGGTATACTTTATTCAAACAAACTAAAATGAAAAAATGCTTATCAAAAAAACAAAAAATAACAAAGTAAAGAATGTGAATGTAAAATGGATTGAGATAAACATGAATAAAAGTTTTTTCGTAACTCAATTGAAAAAATAAAATATAAGTAATAAATAAGTACAAGAGTTATGTTTTTTTTAATTTTTTGTTTTTTCTAAGCATTTTTAATTATGTAAACCAATGAACTTTTAAAAAACCGAATTACATCTGCAGCTGTTCTTAGTTTTATTGTTTTATTAAAATTATGTTTTTTACTGCAGTTTTTAAATTTTCTTCGTTTATATTTCTTTTACATTTCTTTTTATAGTTGCCATTTTTAATCTTAGTTTAACTTTTATATAGTTTGCCAAAAAGATTGTTAAGAGTACGTCCAAATGTGCCCATGAAAATTGCCAAATCCTAAACTACCCCTGTCCTAAAGATTCCGTGTCCGGCAAGATTAAAAAACTTATTTTTAGGTTTGGGGCTGTAAATACAGGAGGACGCAATGCGGAGATAGCCTTAAAATGTCGAGAAAGAGCAAAACTATACTAATGAGCCTGACAAAAT